TTTATGACTGCCACGACATTTTTTTCATTCGCGCTTCTAAGATGCACTTTAGCAGTCTGCGCATCTTCCTTTCTCGCACACTCTCGTCGATGGCGACCAATATCAGGCCGCCGCACTGTACGCAGCGCACCCTAATCTGCATCAATGACATAGGATAACTCAAGCTCTCAGAAGAAAAACAGAATTCGATTTTTGTACAAAATTTTTGGACTTTTTTGTTAGTAATTGCGTTGGACTTTTTCTTACTATAAACTCACGGTGCAATTTCCAAACCAGCGAAGAATTGTGCTACGTGACAGTCTGATGCTTGCCATGGTAGGCCTCGTGCTCTGACAACAACATCGCCTTCTATTTGAGTATCTCTGTCACTAAAAAAATTTGGATACTACTACAGTCGTCAAACCAGGCGAAAGGAAGAGCTTACCAGACAGCGGGTTCAACACCGAGGTTGACCTTCTCCAATGCATTTGCGAGGTCATCTGGAAGGATCAGATTATGGAAAATAAAAAAGTGTAGAAATAAAACGATGAGGAGTCAATAGCGAGAAAATGAATTGCAACCAGATCACCATCAGTTGAGATTTTTCACTGTAACAATACTGAATTTAAGAAGTCATTATCCAGAGTTAGTCGAAATTCTTAGACTATTCCTGATCTATTCAATAGCATCTGTCCCCAAATCTTTTCAAGCGTCTAGCCCATGTATCATTTCCTATTATTGCCTCAAAACAGCTCTTGCTTCCAAGAATATACTAAAGGGATAGTGTAATTGTACAAAATAACAAGCCACAAAGCTAAAAATGTTATGCACATCCTCTTGAACGAAGTTTTACGAAAAGACGGTAGCAGAAGTAAGATTTGCAATGGAAGTAAATTTTTGGCATCAAAGAATTTGCAGATATCGAGCCCATTCTTCTCCACAGACTGCATAATAATAAATTTCACGCGTTGTAACAATGATAAGTTTTGGAGAAGCGGAAAATTCGAAGTAGACCCAACAAAAAAATTGTAACAGCAAAAAAACATTGAAAGAAATGCAAAAAATCCGGCATTATCCCGTTTGGAGGCAATCATGGACGACAACGACAATCGATTGAGAAAACTTTTCGTTGATCTTGAATGGGATCAAAAAAAGATTTTCCTCACTTTTACCAGTCACTTACGACGTATATATACGTATGTTCTATAGAAAGCTTTATATGAAATGGTTTTTTGCGAAGAAAATGAATCAGCAAGAATTTCTAGTACCTAAGTCCTTCGGCTCTCAATCCCACCGTCCCAACAATGTATTTTAAATGATTGACTGAATGAATAAACATATATCGTAATTTAGTTCTGTTTTTATATTCTCGCTTGGGAGTTTTTCTACAATT